CAGGATACCCTGGTAACCATCTCCGATAGAAAACGATAAAAAAATTTCTTATCGTTTTTAATACGGTTAGTGAATCGTTTATTTACGGTACTCTATCAGAAACTCACGTTACAAAATACTTGGAATCCTATCGTAAATATCTTATGAGCTATATATCAGTTTCTATCGTTTTTAATATAATTAGTGAATCGTTTATTTACGGTATTCTATCAGAAACTCACGTTGCAAAATACTTGGGATCCTATCGTAAATGTCTTATCAGCTATACATCAGTTTCTATCGTTTTTAATATGGTTAGTGAATCGTTTATTTACGGTATTCTATCAGAAACTTACGTTACAAAATACTTAGAATCCTATCGTAAATATCTTATGAGCTATATATCAGTTTCTATCGTTTTTAATATAATTAGTGAATCGTTTATTTACGGTATTCTATCAGAAACTCACCTTACAAAATACTCGGAATCCTATCGTAAATATCTTATCAGCTATATATCAGTTTCTATCGTTTTTAATATAATTAGTGAATCGTTTATTTACGGTATTCTATCAGAAACTCACCTTACAAAATACTCGGAATCATATCGTAAATATCTTATCAGCTATATATCAGTTTTTATCGTTTTTAATATAATTAGTGAATCGTTTATTTACGGTATTTTATCAGAAACTCACGTTGCAAAATACTTGGGATTCTATCGGAAATTCCTTATTACCTTTATATCGGTCTCAATCAGTTTTTAACATAATTGAAGTTTCGTTTATTCACGATACTCTATAAGAAATTCTCGATACAATACACATGGGCATGCATCCTAAATTTCTTATTAGTGGTGCATCGGTTTCTATAATTTTTTATGGTATTAAAGTAGCTATAATTGTCTTTTTAATATGGTTAATAGTGAACCGTTTATTTACGATGCCTTGTCAGAAAAAAATTAGAAAAATTTGAAATTTCTCAGCTATATATCAGTCAGAACATCTTTAGATGTTTGTTTACTCTGTATGCCACCGGATTGTAACCGTGTAAAAAAAAAATAAACCGTATCAGAGATTTTTCTATGATAAAGAAAGAACTGCATTTTTTTGAAATAATTAAGCTTCCACCTTTGCGACAACAGCACCAGGAAACCAAGGGCCAAAATTTTCACGGTTATTATAGAAATAAAAACAACATTTACATTAGAAACGTCTTATTTAAAATTGCACTAAAATACAAATAAAATCTTTTATTATTTTAATCTGTTCGGGCGCGCAATAAACGCGCCGAACGAATCGCCGAATCCGTTCCGCGAGAACGCGAGATAATTACGAATGGCTCCGTTCAGCCCTTTAACTATGAGACGACCGTGGTCTCAGTGGAACGCGGACTCGATCGCTTGTTAGGAAATTGAGTGGAAGGCCCAAAAGATAGCAATTGATTTGTAATACATATAAACTTTATTCGATATAATAAAACAAAACTGACGAAACGCGAGGTTTACAGATAAATTAGTGCGATTGCACTTGGTGCGCTATGCCTTGTAATGTTCGAAGCGCGGTGTTACATAAAGAACGATTCTATCAAAACGCGGTTTTATCCTATTCTATACTCCTTCGGCGCGGTCCGTGATGTTGTATTTGCACGCGGGCGGAAACGCGATCGGTATGTGCGAATACCCGGGGCGATGGCTACGAGAACCCTCGTTACGAGGCTGAGTACACTCGCCCTCGCTGAACCATGGCCGTCGGAAGTAAGTTGGATGGAGTTCGGGAACACTCTGAGAACCCTCAGTAGAGGCTCGGAACACCGGACCTCCTTTTGCGTGTACCCTGGGAAATTGGATGGGGTAGGCTTCGTCGAAGGCAGCAGAGAGCCGGAGCTAAGACGAAGTGCCGGCTCCTGTCGGAGCGCCGACTTATATACCGCGGCGCGGCGGGTTCGTTGGAAGGGAGGCCGGCGGTCGGGCGAGCCGCGTGGGGATGCTGACGCGCGCTCGCCTTCGGCGCGGATCGGCTCCTTCCGGCGGTGCCGAACTAATCGAGAATTTTGCGTGAGAAGCAAACGAAAAGTATCGCAGTACATACAACGGTTAAATATACGTTTTTTACGACAATCGATTGCGGGAATCCCGAACATAATCTTAATAACAAGTCATAAAAATACTTGGACGAACTTTGTTTTCGAGCCAAAGAAATATATATTATATTTGAAAATCGTTTATGTTCGTCAAATAATATTAATAAAAAAATATTAAAAGTAATATAAAACATAATAATGACTTGAAAATATTTTTAAGAAACCATGTATTTCCACAGACTTTGTTTAAAAACTTCATATTTTTATTAATGGGTTAGAATCTCAGTCCAAATCGGTAGTATTAGAATTTGAGTCCGAATCGTTAGTATTTTCTTTTTCACTTTCTTCTCTTAATACTGTAAATATGAAACAAATTACAATATTAATTTCATGAAATAACGATTTCTTTCTACTCAAAATAATGTTAATGTATAAACCTTTTTTAATGCCACTTGGGACTCTACGTGATCAATTCAGTTCATAGATTTTTTGGCTCACGTAGGTACCAACTCGCGTGAGTTCGAGCTTGATTGCTACTTCATTCAAATTATATTTCGTTTTTAATACATAACGAAATATGTCTAAAACATAAAATAATTAGGTTATTAAGTAATCCAAAAAAACATTGATGTTTCATATAATTCATAACATATATATCACACTGTACCTTTCAGAGCCAATAATTTGGTTGCATCTAATTTTGGACGAGGGACCACCGATGTTTTATGTTTCTTATTCGGTTTGATACAGTTCCAGTCACAGTACTCTTCTTTAAAGACGTTGTTCCAAAAACTGCAATAGCACAATTCTTCACAAATTGTGCCTTTGAACGGCTTAATTGTATAATGCTGTCATACACCGGACAAGAAAGCCATATGTCTCGGCCAATATGAATCTAGAAAATGTAATGCAGAACTTGAAGGAATAAATTACAACAATAATTTATGAAAAGAGGATTATGTGTGTGTATATATACATATATATATATATGTGTGTGTGTATATATATATATATTTTTTTTGTTAAGACTTTTTGAAATAATTGTATTTATTATATATTTTATAAGTAATAAAAAGTATATGGATTGCTTCGAATTTCGAATAATTCCCGATTTTTTATATTAGAAATGTTAGATAAAATTCTCGTTAATTGTAAAAACCAAATTTACCGTATTATCAGCAATTCTTCGATAGCCTACAGCGAAAAGCTCATTGTTATTTTCTTGAGTCGGTAATTGATTTTTTTGTACTACCTCTTTTAATATATCTATATATCAGTGATAAATTATACATTAATAACACGAAAATATATTTAATATCTTAATAATTAATACATTCGTAATAAAATATTTTATTATTATTACTTCGAAACTCATCAAATTCGTTGACTACTCTCAGTTGCAATGCTACGTTTCTTGTCTTAGTTTCTTCCAGTTCCTCGTTATTCTTTTTTAATAGCTTCCTTAATTCAGCGTTCTCGTTTTGAAGAGCAACGATTTGTTTGTTTAATTTCTTTTCTCGTTCATTCCGTGTTTGTCGATCAACTTTAGTAATTATTGTTTTCTGTATAATACATTTTTCAAAGAGATTAATCGAATATGTTATACATATATTTACTACAAATAATTATTAATTATTATGAAGATTGAAGAAGTGAGCATTATTTCAAAAAAATGTATACTACTCTGGAAAATCACAAAATTTTGGAAAGTAAAATAATTAAAATAATATCTATTCAAAAGATTGCAGATAAATGATAAGAAATTGTAATTGAATTTTATGATTTATATATGTAGAAATTTAAAAAATAGGCTAATATAAATTCTTTAATGATGAAATAACAAGATTATTTTGTGCTAATACAAACTTAAAAACAAGAATAAAAGTTAATAGTGAATTTTTTGAGAATGCATATTATAAATTTTTCCTAATAAAAACATGTCAATATTTTATTAATATACATATAGTAGTTAAAAAAGGTTATCGACTTTATTCAGTTAATTTTCATTGCGTCTCTTCATAAATGTACTCCAATTAATAAGTTAAAATAACAATTTGATTTTCAATTTATTTACACTTTATTAATTAAACAACCTCTTAAAAAATTTTTTCCCTTCAATGACAAGAAAAAACAAGAACATATTAAGAGCTTTCCATTTACATCAAAACTCAGATAAATCTCACTTCTGTCTTTCTTCAACATTCACGTTGAAGAAAGCACTTATTATGAACAAAAATTCTAAACAATTTTACATGCACATAACTAAATTAAACCGTATATAATATCTATACAACTTTCATTGCAACATAAATTTAAACAGAAATATCAATAAAAGATAATTGTTTTGAGAATTACTTACCTTTGTTTTCGGCAATATATCTGTCGCCAACTTTTGTATCAACTTTGTATGTTCAGAAATTATATCTGTACATTCTTCTTTTCCATTTTCATCTATCATTTTTTTTCTTTTCTTTGATTCATGTCCTTCGTTATCCGAGTGCATACAGTTTTCCTATAATTAATAACAAATATAAAACATATTATATTTCTATTTAAAATATAACAAAAAATCATAATAATAGAAAAGAGATTAATAGAGTAGTTTTTATGAGAACTACGTAAAATTATATTGTGCATGTGTACCATGCCATGTTCTTTTCTCACTTTCGATTTATGTATGTCCTTTAAAATTTTATAGAATGACGTATCTATGACGGCTTCCCACAAAATATAAAGCATAAAATAAACGTAATACATTATTATTCCTTTAATATGCCTATTTTTAAATAATGGAAAAATGTTCTAATTTGTTTATTTTGATTATAGTTTGTAACATATTATACCCTTTTCAATGTCATTGGATAGTTCTGTATCACTTACACTATCTGCAGACTCGCAAAATTTGGCATTGGAAATTTGAACTCGTGTTTTATCTAATTTTAAATCCATTTCCTGCAATTTGTAGCAGTTTTAGTTATTGCTATATTTTTTTTATATATGCACAAATGTAACTAAATTTTATAGTTTTGGTTGTACATAATATTAAATTGAAATTATGTAATCATAAAAATCATATAAACCAGATATACACTATTATAATTATCATCATAATCATCATTGTTATTTTTATTATTATTGTTAAAATTATTATCATTATTATTAATTACGATAGCTTTGTTGATTGCATAATTGAAAAATGTATAATATTATAACTTTTGTCTTTGGTAAATGCATTATTGGTTTCACTATTTTAATGTCAGTTATTTTCGGCCTTTTTTATTAATTAACATTGTATCTGCACATTCTTTATTTGGTATTTTCTCAATTTTTTTTTCTTTTTTTTTTCTTCTCTCTCTTCCTTGTTGTCTAATTGAATACAAATTTCCTGTAATTCACAGTAGCTAATAATAGTTGAGAATTATAATAACAGAAAATAGGGATTAATAGAATAGTGATAAGATATATCTTTTTGTGTTACCATAAATGCCATATGTCAATGAAATATAAAATATTGTAATTACATCATTATTATTATAGCATTATTTTAATGATAATTTTGTTGATTAATTGTAAATTTACAATACCTTTGTCTTTGGCAATAAAACTGTTGTACATTTATTTTCTGTAACATCACATATTTGCGGCTCTCTATTTGTAAAATTGTTATCCACACTTTCTTCCGTGTCATTTTCCTCCATTTTTTTCTTTTTGGTTTATGTTCTTTCTCACTATCGGATTGTATACTGTTTTCCTATAATTAATAAATAATTAATATATACAAATATAAAATATATTTATATTTAAAATGTAATAAAAAATCATAATAACAGAAAAGAGATTAATAGAGTACTTTTTATAAGAAAGAATAAAAAATTTAAAAAATAGAAATATAACAGAAAAGAGGGATTAATAGAATAGCGATAAGATATATCTTTTTGTTACCATAAATGCCATATGTCAATCAAATATAAAATATTGTAATCACATCATTATTATTATAGCATTATTTTAATGATAATTTTGTTGATTATTTGTAAATTTACAATACCTTTGTCTTTGGCAATAAATCTGTTGTACATTTATTTTCTGTAACATCACATATTTGCGGCTCTCTATTTGTAAAATTGTTATCCACACTTTCTTCCGTGTCATTTTCCTCCATTTTTTTTCTTTTTGGTTTATGTTCTTTCTCACTATCGGATTGTATACTGTTTTCCTATAATTAATAAATAATTAATATGTACAAATATAAAATATATTTATATTTAAAATCTAATAAAAAATTATAATAACAGAAGAGATTAATAGAGTAGTTTTTATAAGGAAGAATAAAAAATTAAAAAAATAGAAAATTATGTTGTGTGCATATATGTACCATGCCACGTTCTTTTCTCATTTTCAGGGGAGAGGCTCTCGCGCGGAATTCCTACCGAGGAATTTCCATCGACCTACTCGCTCGACTCTCTGGCGACGAATTCCACGATCGGTGGGTTTCGCTCCGGCTCCTGGACTCTCGGCAGCATCCCTACTTGGTCACGGCTCCGCCCCATCAAGCACATCGGTCGACCAGATGTTCCATACACCTGCCAGCCAGATGTGGTCGTTCGAAGCTTCCGCATTCCTGAGTCCATTGTTCGCTCGAGGCAGGTGTACAATAGGCCCATTCATTTGATGTAAACATGTTATTCACAACTTTTACAAATACAAGATTCAAACTACGCAGCATTCCATTTTCTCGATCCTTCTATTCCTTCGAGATTATTCTTCACGAATATTAATAATTATAAAATATTATCTGGGAAAAGGAAATCCTGCGTGAACAATATTATACTTCGCTCGCTCGCACATTATTCTACGTGATCACATCGTGGTCTCGCTCGCTATTGTTAAACAATAATCAATGATTATTCGTTCGGGCTTGTTAATCTGCTTGACAATTCTAAGACAACTTATAACAATCGATTTCGCTCCCCAACATTCGAATGTTCGGTTCTACGTGCCACGCTCTTTCTCCCCACCTTCGTGGTTCACGCCTCCACCTGATAACGCCGTTCGAATGACCGGTTCGATTGTCAAATCGGTTTCATAGAGTCGCCAATACAGCATATTCGTAGAAATTACAATTTCAATTCATCGTTATGTGTCGGCTAGTCCGACCGCGCCTCCGTGGTTCTTATTCCCCTACTTTATTGCCATTCGACGCGTCATTCGACGGTGAAACTGTGTTCCATTAATCGCCTGGATCGCGTTACAATTGATAAATTCGCGATTGACCGTCGGTATCGCGAATTTCCATTGCCTCACGTCGCGGTTCTAGTTTCGCATACTTCGCGCGTACTCTCTTATCCAACGACGTTCGCCCGTTGATATTTGCAACATTCTCACGCCGTTTCGCTGCTCAAACCGTCGCGTTTATCGTCGGATTGCTCGGTCGATCGTCCGCTTCGCGTGGTCGCTATTACCCCCAGTTGGGAACCGCTGTCGCGTCTCCCGTCGGACAGGTCAACTTTATTTTGTTATCCGTAGGTCATGCCAGCTGATCCGGACTTTGTTGGATCATCGGACCGGTTGTTAAGGTTGCCATACCGGTTGCTAATGCGTTTCGATTGGTAACGCGTTTTCCCGATTTTTGTCCAAGTGACGGTTTCGCCCCGGATTTTCCCAAAGGTCTGAAATTGAACAGGCATACGTTCCCAAGTGTCTCGAAGCAATTTTACACCCCACTGACGGTTTTGCCCCGGACTCGCGATAATGCCAAATTACCCATATTATTCACGGATCTTGCCATAATTCCGCTTAATCTTTCTCGCACGACTATCTTTCGTTATATTCGCGTTGTCAACTTACCCCTGACTCTTTGAATTTGCGTTATTCGATTAATTTGCATTGTTCTGTGGATCGAGCTTGCGGGCCCTTAATCTATTTACGAGTCTTTGAATTTTTTCGCGTGAATCTACTCGTTTTTGTTTTATCAATCGATGTAATCGCGTACTTTCTTTTCGTCGTTCATCTTCTTTCTCTCTCTCTACCTGTGAAAGAGGAACTGGGAAATGAGGATGTCACAATATGTTTTCGGGTAAAAGGTTCTTTAATGTTTTTCATGATATCAAGACCTTTTTTACTCGTTTCATTGAACTCAACGTTTTCCGTCTTATGATTACGCCGCTCTGCTATCATTGAATCGGTCTAAACCGTGAAACTATTTTTCTTTGATTTCGCACGCCGCGTATCGGTCGTCGCTCGCGCATTAGCCCCGTAATCATAGATTTTGAATCTTTTCCTATAATCTTATTCTATTTTATATTTGTCTTAACACTATGAATATAGTCCACTAATATACTTATAGTCCGCTAATATACTTATAGTCCACTATTATACTTTCTGGTTAATATATTTGTATCTTTTTATAAAAGGTTATTTACATTTGTTTTGTCTTTTGTCGGGTTTTACAAGTTTCGCGCACTATAGTCGCTCTGCGACCGTCTCCGCGTCTCTCAATGCCGCAAGCACCATTCGCGTGCGCGCCTTCTCCGTCTCGTCCGAACTGCCCCTTCGATCTTCCCTGATGACATCCTTGGGCTGTTTCGAGTCCTTTCGCACCTTCTGCTTCTTCAACATTGGCGGTGCGATCACTCGGTAATCGGTGATTGTCGGCAATTGTCTGCTGCAGCTGCTCGTGCTCGCGTCGCGTCGGCTGCAGCATCAACCATATCCTATGGAAATAAACGAAAAAAAAATTATTATAAATATGAACATTTTATAACTTTTTTTTGTATTAGTCTTTTGAAAAAGCAACAAACCTCAGGCTGTTCTCCAAGACCTACTTCCTTTACTGGTAAACCCACAGATGATTCACCTCCAATAATTGATAATATTTTTAAATCAGAATCTTTAAGCT